GCGCTGACGGCCGCCCACCCCCGCACCCGCTACTCCGGGGGCTGGGACGCTCAGTTTTTCTACATCCCCCTCTCCTACATGCCCACCAGCTTGGCAGATTGGGTGCTGACTCGGGACCTGCCCCGTCCCGCCCAGGCCATATAAGTGCGTGGAGGAGAATGAAGAGGGGGCAGGGAAGGGGGCAGCCCAGGAGAGGAAGAAGTTGGGGAATTGAGAAAGGCCCAGGTGCAAACAGCAGCTTTCCTGGGGCTGCCCCGACTGCCTGTCTGCACCTGACGTCTGTTGCTGTAGAGTGGCAGCTCCTCGGGGCTGGGTGTGTCTCTTTGCTGTGTGTTCGTACAGCTCTGAGCACCGGGCAGTTTGGTCCTTGAGTGAAACCCCTGGGGGGCACCCCTGGAATAGAGCGAATAAAGACATTTCCCGATCACTCCCTCACTCTCCCTTGGCTCCTTGGTTCCTTCTCCAGATTGCAGCATTTGCTGCGCTTTAATAAAACCGAGCAAGTCACGCCCTTAGAGCACAGAGCACTGCGCAAAGGAAGAGTGGGGCAAGATCCCACTTCTACGTAGGGGAAACCGAGGCATGGGGGGGAAGGGGAGACTCCTGCGCTTCTGTAATTCAGGAGGTTCTGAGAGCTCCACCAAGTGGGTCGAATCTGGGTAAATTGCTTAGTGACAGTGCGACTTACAGGCACCAAACCCATCACACTGAGCGTTTCTGTTCACCACACGAGCGACCAAGACTTGATATACACAGACCCTCCAGTTCTCCCCTTCCGCTCCCAGCACTGCGCTTACACAGATGAGAGGCGAGGAAATCCAATCTCACCAACTCCGCACAGGTTCTCCCGATCCCAAGAGCCAGCCGCAATCCCAGGTCAACGTGTACCTCGGAACTTACCCCACAGAGCCCGCCGGGCCGATCCTTTAGACTCGAACATCTCAAGGTTTATGAATGAAAAGGAAGAAGAGGTGGAGAGTCAAGTCATGAAAGGAGTCACGTTACCTGCAGAACTGCAAAGGTCTCAGTGCAGGCTTGTGGCTGAAAAGGGCGAATCCGATGGCTTAAAACAAGTCTCTGGATACATCCTCTGGGAGGATGGGTTCTCAGCCCTTCCAGGCGTCCGTTGCTAGCAGAGATCCTTCCGCGGGGATTCGCCAGGTTGAAGACCAAACGGAGGAGCCTTGAGGGCCTTGTTGATCCACTGGCCCATGTGGAGGGAATCCCATTGTTCCGGCTGTGGGAAAACATGTGTTTGTCACATGAGCAAGTGTGACGGACCAGGCCGGGTCTGGGCACCGCTGTGAGCATCCGCTCAGGGCGAATTCCTCAACTTCGGGGCTCCTTACAGCCCCCAGACTGGAGACCTTCCCAAATAGGCCACAAACCAGTCCCACAGAGCGCTTCAGCTGCCTGCCTGAAGCCTCACGAGCAAAACCCCTCCGACACCCCAGCAATATCCGTGCCCCAGATGGCCCCGGGCCTCATACACCGGTGAGGGGTTTTAGAGCCCAATCCCACCGACCCCGAACAAGTTCTGTCCAGTTCCAAGAAACTAGCCACGGATCCCAGGTCAAATTATCCTCTGGATCTTACCCACAAGATCACGCTGAGCAATCCGTTAGAATCTGAAATCTAAATGTTTATTACTCAAGAAAGAAAATCATAAGAGTAAGGTTGTTAAAGTATCACACATTACATGCATCGAATCTCCCAGTTCTCGATGCAGGCTTGCAGCAGAGATGTTATAACTGCTGGCTTAAAAGTCTTTGGTGTACATCCTATGTCAGGATGGGTCCACGCTGCTATCATATCCCCCCTCACTCTTCGCTTCTCCAGACTAAACAGACCCAACTCCCTCAGCCTCTCCTCATAGGTCATATGCTCCCTCCGGAAAAGGGCACTTTTTCCGGAGGATCGGGGCCAGTCTAGACGCTCTTTTCCGGCTTTTTTAAAAGCCGGAAAAAAGCGGCGGACATTTTTATTTAAATGCCGCGGGGGATATTTAAATCCCCCGCGGATTTCCCTATTCTGACTTTCAAAATTAGCATGCCCCTTCCGAAGAAGGGGCCAGTGTAGACGTAGCCTAAAGGTTTATTACTACAAGAAAGAAAAGCATGAGAGTAAGGTTGTTAAAGTACCCTACATTACATGCATCGAATCTCCCAGTTCTCGATGCAGGCTCGCAGTGGAGATGTTATGACGGCTGGCTTAAAAGTCTTTGGTGTACATCCCACATCAGGATGGGTCCACAGTTCTTTCCGGCTCCTTGATCCCTGCACTCTTGCCTCTGGGATGAAGAGCTGAGCTGAGCACCAAGATGGAGTCGGCCACATGGCATATTTATATCCCCTCCTGGCTTCTTCCAAGCTGGAGAGAGTCACTTGGCCAGTGGCCAGGTGTGTCTTTGGCCTCCAGAAGTTCATTGTTCCCTGGAGCTTTGCTCGTTAGCAGGTCCATGGGCAAACATTCCCGGCCCATTGCTTTGCCTCAGAGAATCTTTCAGCATCAACGCAGAGTACATATTTCTAACTTCACACACAGACATTACACAGGTATATGAATAGCATATATAGAATCTGCAGACAATAAGCTTTCGTTTGACACCTTACATGGCCCCCTTTGTATCAATTTGTGGGGCAAACACCCCCCCAAGGGGTGCAGCAGTGATCTGGCTGCTCCCCTTAAAATCCAGAAACGTGACATCAAGTCTCCTGTCCAGGCAGGACTCCGCGCTAGTTAGGCAGCCGCCGTCCCTCATGAATAGCATATATAGAATCTGCAGACAATAAGCTTTCGTTTGACACCTTACATGGCCCCCTTTGTATCAATTTGTGGGGCAAACACCCCCCCAAGGGGTGCAGCAGTGATCTGGCTGCTCCCCTTAAAATCCAGAAACGTGACATCAAGTCTCCTGTCCAGGCAGGACTCCGCGCTAGTTAGGCAGCCGCCGTCCCTCAGATGTGGCTCGGCAGCACCAAACGTGCATTGTCAGTCAAAGTAGGTTCCCGTCAGAATCCAATAACGTCGCCACCTCCACAACCCAACCGCTGCCCTGTCTCCTGCACCCTCCCCGCATCCCCAGTCCCTGCCCCGAGCCCTCCACGTCTCTCAGCTGCCCATCCTGAGCCTCCAGCATTTCATCCCACATTTCTTGCAGGTACTTACATTTCTTGCAGGTACTCTCCTATCGCCACCCTCCCCCTGCATCCTGTGCCCTGAGTCCCTCCCTGCAGTGGGGGTACCTGTAAGAGATTTACATTACTTTCACCCCTGCCCTAGTGCCAGCACCTATGCAGTCTATGCTGTGCTTCGAACCCTCAACAGCTTCCACTGAGCAGACACCGCCCCCCTGCTCCTCCGAGGCTGCAATAGAAACCCCTCCAGCAAGCTCAGTTACCGTGCGATGTTATGACCCGCTTGCCTGTCGTGCCACACGGACTCGTCGGCTGCTCACCAGGGTTACGCTGCAGGAGCGCAGAAGCAGGATGCGGCTGCACGTGCCAAAGGGCTGGGGATGCATTCGGGAGCTAAGGAAGCAGGGCCAAAATGCAAAGCCAGCCGGCTGGGGCCTGTCAGATCCCAGGCTTGGCCATAGGGTTGCGTCATGCTTGACATGAGTAAGTGACCGAGGAATGTGCCGCTGCACAAACCGACGGGAAAAGACGTGATGATGGGGTGTAGTGTGAAAAAGGAGCCACAAAAGTCGTTTTCGTGACACATACCTGGTAGTCACCCCTTTCCTAGTTGCGGGCTATTTGTTGTGCAAAAGAAACTAGGAACAACCCTTGCAAACTAAGGATGGTAAGGGACAGGCATTTTGCTAATTGTGTAGTCGATACAATTTGTATCATAGAATCATAGAACTGGAAGAGACCTCAGGGGGTCATCAAGTCCAGCCCCCTGCCCAAGGCAGGACCAACCCCAACTAAATCAACCCAGCCAGGGCTTTGTCAAGCCGAGACTTAAAAACCTCTAGGGATGGAGATTCCACCCCCTCCCTAGGGAACCCATCCCAGAGCTTCCCCACCCGCCTAGGGAAATAAACTGGCCACTGGGATTGTGCTGGAGGTGGGCGCAGTGGCTGAATCTTTCCCTCTCCCTGCCGGACTCATAGGCTGTGTCTAGACTGGCAAGTTTTTCCGCAGTTTTTTCCGAAAAAGCCCCTGCTTTGGCGAAAAAACTTGCCAGCTGTCTACACTGACCACTTGAATTTGCGCAAGAGCCCTGACGATCTCATGTAAGATTGTCAGTGTTCTTGTGCAAATACTATGCTGCTCCCACGCGGGAAAAGGCCTCTTGTGCAAATGCTTTTGCGCAAGAGGGCCAGCGTAGACAGCTAAAAACTGTTTTGCGCCAAAAAGCCCCGCTGGCGAAAATGGCGATCGGGGCTTTCTTGTGCAAAGCTTTCACGCAAAAGCATCCGTGCCAATCGAGACGCTCTTTTCCGCAAATGCGTTTAACGGAAAAACTTTTGCGGAAAATCCTGCCAGTCTAGACGTAGCCATTAAGAGAAAGCGCCCCGCAGCCATGTTTCTGAGGGGCACGCAGGGCAAGCTTGGCGGGCCAAATCCCGCCCACGGGCCATATTTTGCCCAGGCTTGTTTTATTAGGATGTCAGATCGGGAGGTGGGGAGGGAGGATCTCGTGTCAGAGCCTGCTGGGGTCTTTCCTAGGCGGCTTTGCCACATGGTCAAGAGGACAGCACCAGCCCAGGAAACACTCTAGATTTGCAGCCCGTCCCGCCCATTCCCGGGTTCGCCGCGGGAAGGGTGCCACCAATAAACACGGCACTGCTGCCCTCCCAGGCAGGACTTTGCCCCTGGACTTTCCCCCCCCAGCGGGGACTCAGCCTCCAGCCAAGGTCCCCCTGCCCGGCTGGGCCCCGCAGGGAGGCGACTGTGTCTCACCAAGTGCCAGATTCTTCCAGTTTGATTTCTAAAGTCAACAGTTCCCCAGCGCACAGGCTGACCGGGCTGGGACTCAAGATAAGCAGAGACTTTGCAGGTAAACATTCCCCGTCCCTTCTGGATCCTGAGCTGCACCTGGGAGTGGGCCTGGTTCCTGCGGTCCCCCCTTCCCTGGGTTGTTTTTTCCTTGGCAGGCCCACCAATGAGAGAACAATTTCCCCAGGGCCCAGGTGGTTGCAAAGGGCCGTGGGGCTGCTGCTCCTCACAGCAGGGCCGCCCTGGCTCCGGGCTGCACCCGCCCGCACCGTCCCTGCGGCCCTGGGGAGCGGGGGGTGTG